AGCCCAAACAATGCGTAAATTACTCTGTAATTAGATATATATATATAATTATCATGAAGATCAATGTTTAGTGTTCACTAAAAATTATTAATGATTGTGTGTTCCTTTCCTCGGTAAATTTTTATACTAATTAATAATTATCAAAAAAAAAAAAAAAAAAAACAGCAACAAGTAATACTTATATATTTCAATAGTTTATGTATCAATATAGACATAAATTAAAAAGCTTGTTTTAAAAAAATTTTAGAAGTATAATTTACGTATGATAAAGTGTCTAAAATGTATTTCAATAATACGAAAGTTACTTGACTCCTGTTTACTCTACCGTTTAGAAGGTACATATTATGATATTATGTCCATTGCTTATAGTCTACCTGCATTATATGGTTAAACTTAATAAAAAAATTTTTGAAAATTCAATTTATATAACAAACAAAATTAATTTAAACAGTTTCAAACACACACACACACACACATACACAAAATTCATAATAGAAGAGTTACAAAAAAAAAAAAAAAAAATGGGTATGATTCGATGAAACATTAACGTTAAATATTGCATTTTAGATTAAATCAGAGTGTCATTTTTAATGAACTGTCTGTTTTAATCAAACACGTACACATATAAATATATATATTTATACACAAAACAGTGAGTAATTTAAGTAATTCACATTTAGTTAAAAACAATACAAAATTCATTAAAAGCTATATTATTTCTGTGTTATTATTTTTTCAATTATACAAATGTAAATAGATGACGTCAAAAAATATTAAAATAAGTGACATCTGTTTACTGAAATAAAATATTATCTTTTTTCATTAAAACATTTCAAACACTAAATAAAAATGCACTAGTAAAGTTTAAGTATATATAGAAAATAATATATTAAGCTGTTTAATAATGAAAAATAAATAATAATTATTGTGTATATCATCAGTATTAATTATAATTTATTTGTTTCCTGTTATATAATGTTTTGTATTTTACCAATCATACTATTATTAAAACGAATTTAAGTTATCGTATATAAGTAATTTGAAAATCATTATGTTTTTTTATTGATTATTTTAATTATCCAAAAGTTTTCGCTTGTTCATTTTTAATTATAAATATACAAATGTCAATTATAAACAATGTCTTAATTAATTACATTATTCTAAATGTCGTACACTTATTTGATAAAATATTTAAAAAAAAATAATTACAATACAATTACGTAGTATCAATTATATTAATTAATATTATTTATCATTATTATTTTTCACGGAACATTTATATAGTTTTCTTTGAGAAAAATATTATTTTTTGATGGTGATTGATTTTTTACAACCCATCGTTTAATATTAATATTTCAATAATGTCCAACACCTCATCATTTCATGTCGCTTTGATTAATATGCCACGTAAATGTTAAATCTACACCATTTTATATATTTCACAAAGTTAACGATCAACATTTTTTCTCTTTCATCAAAAATGCCGATTTTCGTTAAAAAAAAAATATATATATATATGCAATATACATAATATCCAGTATTTTTTTTCATCCAATTCAAGGGTTTTTCTTTCTATTGCTACTGTCCCTAGGAAATGTTGGTATTCTAGTAGATTAGGTTACGGATGAATTGATCACTCCAAAGAGTTTTTTTTTTCTTTTTCATTATCTTGGGTATATATATGTGTGTGTGTTTATTACCAAAAAAAAATTCGATAATAGCGACATGTCATGGTTGGCGTAACCAACAAAATAAACAGACTTGTAGAAATGAACCTTTAGAACGGACAAGTGTATTTTTCTATCTTTTGTTTGTTTACATTTTCACAATTCCTTACTAGTTTGCAAAAAAGATATAAATATCTAATGTAATATAAAAAAGTTCAAGAGGAGAGAGGCAGGCTCAGTTAGAAAGTAAATAATACAAACAATTCTCACTATTCTAAATTGAACAAAAAATAGATATTCCAGTTTACTATCACTATGTGAATAGTAAATGTCAATATATTTTTTTAAATTTAAATAAGGTTTAAACATCACGTACTCTTAGTACTAGCATTGACTATAGAATCAATGGAACTAGCCTATACATATAATTTTGAGTTTAATTTTTTTGATAACCTTTTATTAAGTCTTTTGAAAAAAATATTAGATAATTTTAATGTAATTATAAGACCATTTTAACCGGAGTATTAATTAGATTATATTTTGGATAAAAAAAATAAATAAAATAAAATAAAAAATAAAAAATGCTATACATTAAATAATTATTACTTGGTACTTAAAAATATTTTATTTTTAGTTGGAAGCATTTTTATATTTCATTAAATACTAAAAACAAAAAAAAAAAAATGATTAAATGAAATGTATATTAAGTGCTTTCAGTATTAAACAAAACGATTTTTTAATGTTATTTTATTTTTTAAATACATAAAATTAAGATACTAAAATAAACAATGATTATAATTATAATGATTGTAATTATTCGATAGGTGCTTATACTTATTATATTATTCCGTTATAAATTGTATTATATTAATTGGTATTTATTAAGAATGATATAATAATTTCCAACGATAAAATAAAAATAAAAAATATCGAAGTCAGTATTTGTTTTAATTTATATTGTCTGAATATAAAATATTTTCTTTCAAATTTATAATCAATAAATTATTGCATATGATTCTGATACAATGGTAATTGCGATTTAAATTTATGATTTATATGTATTCAAACATTTTGAAATGTCATTAGAGTTTTTGTATGTATATTATTAAGAAATTGTTTTCATTAGATGGTTTGTAAGAATAAAGTTTGCAATCGAGGGTTACACTTGGAAAGTTTTGAAGCACCAAAAACCTTTATGGAAATATTGATAAAACAATAAAGGTATTTACAAAAGGTTTAACAAAGGTGGTTTAACATTTCTAAACAAAATAAATCAAACTTCAATAATATAATAAATTCTTAAGATAACAATAAATGAATAGAGTTAACCAGCATAATGTTATTAAATTTGACGCCATAGAAATTCATCTACATCTCATCATGCCATACAATATTTTGTTAGGTTTGTTTTGGTTAGTTAAATTTTTGTTAGTTTTAATTATAATAAAGAAAAAAATAATATTTTTATTAAACGACACAATACATGTAATTTTCCAATATTGAATCAAACGACATATTTACTATATTTTAACACAACCAAAATTACAATCGAAATCTATCAATTATACTTTTAATCAACGTAGTGAAATATTTTCAATGATATTAACTTTTACACAGTATAATACGATTCAAGGCAATTGCCAATTAAAATATAATTCGTTTTGGGCTCACCACGCTGTGTGGCCTTAAACGCTTGACGACATCTTTATGGGAACACACAACTAATCAATAGAACCTCGTTTAAGTACGAATACGGCAAAAATGGGACAGGTCGTGTAAGTTCACAATAAATAGAATACGTGTTTTAGAGTAAATATTGAAAAGCAATCCTGCAGCACACGATACTCTAATAACATTATGAGTAACTCAACTCGAGGGTGCATTTAACTAGGTATACAAACGATTCGCTACAATCCACCATACAGATCTTTATGTATAAATACAACGATGAGTATTGTAAAGTTGAATACAAACATTCTGAAAATAATGGCACTCCAAGAAACTCTGATATTGATTATCATTGAAATTTCATGTTTAAATTAACGTACATATTCTAAGTCTAGGTTAAACGATTTCAATATAATCGAATCATACATCAAACACCCTATATAGGCGATGACACTTGGCCGTGTGGCTATACGCGGCGTCCGTCGCAATATGCTATATATTGACAAAATATATACTGCAAAATTCGTTATTTTATACTAAAATATCACATTCGTCAAAGTCATCATCGACGATCCTTTAAGTGTTAGAAGTAAAAATTTAATCAAGAAATGTCGTTGGTGATAATGGAAATAATATAATATTGAAGTATAAATTACTAACGTGTTGCCATGAACCCTCAGATTTTAATAACTCGATATTTTCTCGATTTCACACGATTTTTTTTTTTTACTTTAACTAAAAACACTAATGAACTATGATACTGTTTTAACGGTTTTATTTTAACTTATTGATATGATCATAAAGTATAAAAATCATGAAATACAAATTACCAGTCTGATTTAAAAAACCAATGGTTGGTTTATTAATATTTCTATTATATTAGTAATAATTTAACTTGTGTGGAGAAAATTATTGGAATTGACGAAATAAAACTAAAATTTTAACCGAAACTAATAACATTCACATATGGAAAATTATAACGACTAGTTTCAAATAAATAAAAGCGATTTAACGGGTCAAAACTTAGCAACAGGATTATAAATATTATTGTACTACCGTTATGTAACAATACAATTATTGTAGGTAAATATTATAGACCTAGCCTATAAAATTCCGACACTTACGTACTAGCTTATTTATTCTTACGTATTATCGTGTGATGATCTGAGGGAGCTACTTTCCGAGATACCATATACATACATAACACGTATATCATATACTTAGGTATGTCATGACGTATATAATATCTACAAAATACAATTCTCGACCATTTAATGGTAGTGCAACACGCTATAGGTGGGTACGCTCCTATTTTTATTTCTCTGTGTAATTTTTTTTTTTTTTTTTGTTATTTTCAATTGCCCCGGTAATATCAGCATCCGCTGCGGAGGATGCTATTGGCTTCCCAATTGAATGTCGCACCCATTTCTGCAATGTATTTACTGTCGTCGTCGTCGTCTTTATTATTATTTAATACGTTTATAAAACACCACAGACGCACCCAAAAGTACCGATTACCTCATGGTGTCGGCCGTGAAACGCTAAAACGGAATGACAATAATGACGATAATAATAATAATAAAATCCCTACTCGATCACGGCGGAAAATCGGCTCTTATAAAAGGACGGACGCTCTAGTCGCTGTAGTTTACCGCAATCCGTTTTAGCGCGTCGTCAATCGTATAACATTACTAATATAACATACTCTCATTTTTTATTATTATCATTAATCAACAACCACGACGATGATGAGCTCTTCGATGACTGGTCCTAGTGGCGGCAGTGGTGGTGGCTTGCAGAAATCATCGTCCGGAGGTCCTCTGTCGACACAGTCAGCGGTTGAAAAGTCGATGGTGGTGTCGTCTGGCTATGGCACGTACAACAGACGTGGCACGATGGATCGTCGTCGTCGGACCGACTATCGTGATGGCAGGGATGGAGACCATCACGATGACGACGACGACCGAGATGACGACGATGACCGTCTGTCCGAGTTATCCGACTCGGGACACTTTCTCGCTAAAGGTGCGTTTCTCATCACGCCCAGCAACGAGCTAAACCTGGAGAAAGCGACAGCCATTTGCGAGAAGATGAACTATAGAGGACCGTACTCAGTTACCAAGACGGCCACGGGCATACTGTTTAAGTTTGCTGAACAAGACGACTATCACGTGACTTTCCGCAAGGGATTTCACAAGGTGACTAACTCGAGGTTCTACAAGAAGGTAAGCAATTAAAATCAAAATACCATATAACCTAAGTAAAAAAAAAATCCGTAAAAATACACGCACATTCAAATTCATGGCGAATAAGCAAATGTATTTATTTAGTATAAATACCAAAATATTATATAATTTTCAACTAAAACTACTTAATCAAACATTTAAAATATTAAAATATATTTAGAGTTGCATTGTATAAACCATTTAACCACACAATAAAAAAAATAAAAAAATCAATGACAAATATTTTTTTAATAATTTATTCATTTTTATGGTGCCAATTTGTAGTTACGAAAAGTAATTTGAGATTTTCAAATTTAAAACTCCTATGCAATTATTTTATAATATATTTATGGGAAACTTCATTTGTTATTCGATTCAATCAACGCGTATTTAGATTAGGACAAGTAAAGTTATCTTATTAATCAATATAATACAATAACAGTATAACAATTGAATTATTATGTGACGTTATTATTCCGTATGGTTAATGATGAAATCTATGTTATTTTTCCTTTTGAAGTACACAGCTTATAGAAATATATGGACTATAATTTTTAAAAACAAAAAATAAAATAAAAATCATATTATTCTGTATACTATGGGTTGAAATAAGTAAACCTTATCCGTTAAGTGGAAAAAACTGAATCTTCAAAAATTTTTCACTTTAAAATTGAGTACAATTTTCGATTCTTTAGTCATTAAATAACATAACATTTTTAATGTATTTATTTTCTTATTCCTTCTCAATATAGGCTTAAAATAATGAGGTATCCTATTAAAAATCAAAAATTTTTAAATACGTTAAATTATAACTTAGCTGATCTCTACATTGAAAACACGTTACATAATATACTTTTTTGAGTGAATTTCATTTTATCTATAGAAAAATACTATGTAATTACGATATTAAAAATTAAGTTTTGGTTCATAGTTTATAATATTTAATTAAATTGAGTTTTTGATACAAATTTAATAAAATACTTACAAACTATTATTTATATTTTTTTTCCTGTATCTTGATACATTCTTAATTTAAATCTTCCGAGACCCTTAAAAATCAATTTTCGATCATTTCTCTAAACAAAACGTTATGTTTAAAAAAAAATTATCGTTTTTATATTAATAATAAAATATTTTTAAAATTACTTAACTCTATTATATTCTTATAAAATTTGTATATTTCGTAACTGACAGTAAAATCAGAAAATACATTTATGCAGACGAGTATTGATAATTTGAATTTCAAGGAAGATAAAAAAGTATTCGCCTTATGTATTTTTCGAGTTGTACGAGTTTATCTCAAATTATATTTTAAGTACAAACAAATTTGATTTAGCAGTTATTGTGTATATATTAACAAAAATTACAATTTAAAAAATAAATTGCAAAACGCATTAGCTATATAGTAATATGAGTTAACTTCAATTTGATTAAATTTTAAAACACTTGAGTATAGTTCTTGAAATTCGGAAAAATAATTTTAAAAAAAGAGTTTGACTTTTGGATTGTTTTAAAATAAAGTTTTCAATTTCTTCTGAATATTTGAACAGTATCTCATCTACGCCTTACCTTCTGCCTAATTTTACTCGACAGAATATTAAATAGTTTAGCAATTTCATTTTTAGATTTACCACTACGTTTAATATATTACCTTTTTCAGCAATTGTTAATGCAACCGATTCACGTTTAAAAGACAATGAATAACGTACACTAAAATCGTATGCGCTACACAACGTAGATAAAATTTTTTAGATTATTTCACATTACAATTTATTGTAGTTTCTTTTAGTTCATATGTATATTTATTACTATTAACAGGTTCTAACAATACTATTTAAAATAAATTTTTTATTGCTGATTTTGATTTATTAATGTACAATTATTTTTAGTTTGCATTTATCAAGACATATTATATTGCATCGAGTATATAAATTTCGCATTCACATAGAGAAAATACTCATTTTATGAACTGGATAGATAGTGAAATTCGTCCAGATCGTGAATTTTGACGAAAATACATTAGATGGACATCCATTTCATAAAATGAACGATACCTATATTGTGTATTTTGTTTAATTATTACAAAATAATTATTTTTGTTATTTACCAATAAATCATATTATATTGTATTATATATTAATTTATTTTTTCATGAAACAGAATAAATAAATTAATAAAAAATGTAATATAATATTATAATATATAATTATATATTATATTGTATAGACAACAATGTTACCTATCAAGTATTATTATAAAATAATATCCTCATTATTTATTTTTACACGACGATTGATCATGACATATTATGTCATAATGTCGTGGTAAAAATGCCGTGAACACAAAAATATCGTGATGTCAATAATATGAAAAATATAATATTAATATAATATAATATAATATTAATATTATTATAATTGATAATATATCTATACATACAGCATAATTTTATTTTATTTGTATTTTATTTTCACAGTAGGAAATGAATAATAATAATAATTTAAAAAATAATAATTTTTTTTTCATATCAATTGGTATTGGAAGGGAAGTAATACGAAATTCCACACAGGTAGTCGTTAATTGATCGATTTTTATAATTATCACTTATAGCTTTAAGTCGAATTGCAGAATCTATGTATTTTTTTTTTTTTTTGTTCAACTCTTAGATGGTTTTAGCTTTCTTTCTTTTTCAATGAATTGATAAAAATCTAGATAGAAGGATGACGAGAACATAATATTGAACTAAATATTAACTAATAATATTTACACTGAACTTTATCTTTGTAAGTATATATGGTATTATATTATTACTAGCTATGGTACTTTAATCTAATCTAATCCTACTAACGACCTTACGAAAACCGGAACTGTGAACCATATCGGTGACTAAAGCGATATATTACCACTTGTGACATTGTGGTTTTGGCAACATTTTTATTGCGAAGTTTTTGCTGCGATATTTTTTACCACAGCACCGTCCTAGACACTCTCAAAGTCAGAGAAGTATTAAGAGGTCTAATCAGGATGTTACGAGCATGGATGGCTAATAACGACATTTTAAAATCCAAAATGTAGAACATGGTATTCAATTAAGCCTTTTTAAAAACTCAAAAATTGAACTAATTAAATCAAATTTATTATTTGATCTGTCGAAGAAACAAACAACGGAAAAAGATCTCAAACATACATCCCAGTTAAAGAAAATTTAAAATCACTCAATTGCCTCTAGCATTGGTAAAGTTGAAGTGAAATTGTTATTATCGGAGATTGCTGAAAATAATAAAATTATCTGCTAATTATGCAATAAAAGTAAAAATATATAAATTCAACGTGAACGTGGACACCAAAATCAAATTTTAGCGGCAGAAAAAATGATTAAAGTAGATAATAGAATACGGGAAAAATGTTCTTTTAAATCTTCATTCAAAATTATTTTTAATTGTAAAACAAAAAAAGAACAGACGATTTTGAAATTAATCATTGCGTTGTATCGGAGTACCTAAAGTTTGCAGGGGACCTATAGATTTGCCAAACATGATATGTTTGATCACAAAATAAAAACAAAAATGATTGCGTAAGCTTGGAATAAAATATGGCTTACTTAAAGGATGGTTCACTACTAAATGTTTGAAAAAATCAATAATTCAATTTGTCACTAATGGTCAAGTTGATATAATTAATATTGAATTTTCAGTGTCAAAAATTAGTAAAAAAATTTCAGGAGAGCAAGGATTTTTGTTTTGTTTGTGTAAGGCAAAAACTCTTTGCCAATCAAGTCAGAGTGCATGTTTTAAAAATAACGTGCTGTGTAAATGTAATAGTCTATGTCATAATCAATTTCGCAAAAAAATAAATAATAAGAATATTATTTCACAATTTATTATAACAATTATACTTTAAATAAGTAACATTGCTATTTATAAAATATAATATACAATTATAATTATATTATATTTTATTATAGTTTTTGCTTTTTTTTGTTTTTTTTTTTTTTCATTAAAAATTAATTAAAATATAATAAATGTATGGTGTATGAAAAAATAAATAAAAATATAATATAATTTATTGGTAAATAACAAAAATAGTTTTTTTTTAAATAATTAACAATGTATACAATATAGATATAGTCCATTTCATAAAATGGATGTTCATATTATAATGTATTTTCGTCAAAATTCACGATCTGGACGAATTTCACAATCTGGATATCCAGTTCATGAAATGAATGGTTTCACTATGTGGATGCGACATAGACATTTCTAAGGAATAAGAAAAATTTGAGATATATTTGTTCGATTTATTAAGACTCGACTGTGTCATAATTTAATCGATTGATTTTATTTTGAATAGGTATGAATATATTCAATATATTAATAGCATTTTAATTCACATGGTATACTATAGTTATAATCAGTGAAAATTATTTTTATCATTTTTTTATTTAAAAATGAATCTTTGGTTTAATTATGTGATTCCAAGAATTTATATTTTATTTAGTTTTTATTATGCAAATAATATTAATATTACCTATTATTACCTATTAGACACTATAAGGTAATTTGAATTACGTTTGTAACAAATGATTAAAAAATGTAATCATTTTTAATATTTTCTTACATTTATATTATTACCAAGAAGCAATTATTAATCGTATATTTTTTATATGTATTTTTATTCAATATATATATAATATAAACGCCTTTATTGCATTTTAAATGTAAATGCATTTTGTTTATGTTAATATATATATTAATTATATTATAATATATTATGAAAATCTATTAAAAAATTTAAATTATTTGTATAAAATGAATTATAGTGTAAATATTATGTTTGAGAAACATCAGACAAACTTAAAAATGTCTATCGAAAAGCATTAAGTTAGATATCATAATATTTAAATTAGAATGGAAATTATTATTATTATTATTATTATTATTATTACATTGAATAACATTTAATAAATTATATTCCGAGTAGAAGAACTTAAAATACATTTT